GATTATACCAACTACTTTGTTTTATTACTTTCAAACTATATTTAGTGTAAAACTAACTTTTGTTAAATAATGAAAAACTGTTAGGACTATTTTATGTAAAGTGTCATGGGCTCGCCATGAGCAAAACTGTTGTTGTTTTCAATGCAAATTATGAAAGTAAGAGAAAAAAAAACAATATGTCGATTCAAATTTGGTCATGAAAGCTGAGGTTATCTGTGTCTTCTCACTTAAACTAAGCACTATTATTCAGTCCACAAAACAGTCAAAGTCCAAAAGAGATCATTTTGACTAGTCCATGATACTCTGCATAACATGGCCTTTACACAGTTTCCCTGACGACGATTCTTGAAAACTATTTCAACTGAGCATGACAAGCTTTTATCGAAATTCGAAATTCTCTCAGCAATCCAAAGTGCTACTAGGTTTGATATAAATAATATAAATTAAAGTACATAAGAAATATGTTCTCTTAAATTATTAATAAATTCCATACTGAAAAACTGATTATTACACATGTTGATAGTTATGCTAACTAAACAATTACACAATTAATTACATAATACAATGCGTAAAAATAAAAACAACTTTTATTAAAATCGATGCTGGTCACAATAATTTATGTTATTACGATCTTTTGTACAGATAATACAATTTAAAGTATATGAGAATTATAAACAATTGTCAATGTTTTTATAAAAGGGATAACACTAATTGTTATGATTATTAAATTGAAAATTATTTTGTTTTATATAACTTATAAAATTTGTTAGTTTATTTTTTATTAATAAAAAATTATCTTTCTTAAATCTTTTTTAAATTTATAAAATATTTAACACAAAAATACTAATAGCTTCTTTGTAAAATTGCACCCAAAAAAGGCGCTTTACATATAGTAAGTTAAAAAAATATGCATAACAGATGTCTCTACAAAAAGAATAGCTTTGAAACAAAAATAGGCAAGCTCAAAGATTAACTTTCAATTCGTTGAACTTGTGTTTCCAAATAAAGCTGTAGTTTATAAGCTCGTTCTAATTTAAAGCACGGCAAATGCTTTGGTTGGTGTCACTAATTAAATAAAAATAAGTGACAATAAAACCTGGAACTTGAGCATTGAAAGTTTGTACAGCCTTGGCTTCTTGTGGATAAACACGATTAGTCATCGCTTCTAATTTGACAGGCACGAGTTCTAAGCCTGACACTTGCAGCCCAAACAAATTATATACGGACTATAAACTAATTAAATAAAAATTCGATTATTTCCAAAGACCACTGATGAAGAGTACTTGGCAATACTCGAAACAGCGTTGTATGGTCAGCCAAATTTCAATAAATTAAATAAAAAATTTTTGTCTTTGCCTTTCTTTGCTATTCGAATCGGTCTAACTTTTAAATAGTTTCTTTCGTCATAAAAAGACACGCCATTATCGGCAAAAAAAGAAAAAAAATTTGCCTTAAAAATTAGAATTATAGGATATATGAACAATAATATT